CTCAGAGCACGGTCAGCCCTCTTTCTGCAGCACTGCCACCCATTGCACTGCGGCACCACACCCTGCACCCAAAATTCTTGGGCTCTTGTTCATTTTACAGCAGGCTGTTAGACATCAGTTGTGACTGTCGTAGTTCTGTGCGCAGCTCCCAGTTTTATGTTGGACTTCGCTCTCTCCAGTTTGCTGTTATCTTATCTGTCTATGTCGTCTTTGCTCATGAGAGCCATCGGGAGGTTGTGAAAACATACTGGGCCTGGCAAGGATGCCGGGTTCAGCCAACGTGGTTTTGTGTGTGGCATTCTTTGCTCCTTCGTCACAGATCTGCTTCTTTGGTTCTCCACTCAGACCCATCGGGTTGTACTGGTCCTTGCACCAAGTTACAAATACCACTGACACAGACAGAGGGTTTCAGGCACAACGCACAGGGGAAACGTTTGGAAAGACTTTGGAGAAACTTGCCTCCTTTCTGCCCCTCCAGTGTTTGTCTTTTTTTCTGGTGTGACAATGGTTGTTTGGCACTGGGCTCTTTCCCAGGATAGAGAGCATTCCCAGGAAAACACAGTAGTTGGGATTGCCTTTTGCCTACCCACTACATGTCCCCAAATGGGAGGCATGGGAGCGCTGGCTTTCTGCTGGCTGGGCAGGGGGAAACCACAACCATGATGGTCCCACTCTGTAAAAAGAACTGTGCTGTCTCAAAACCCAAAGACCAAAGCCAGATCCTCTGTATTTTGGAAACCGTGGCTGAAACTGTACCCCATTAAGAAAGGTTTTAAGATCAGAAGAGTCAGATCAAGTCTGGTGGACATCAAACCTCCCAGAGAGCCTATTCATGTCCTGGTTAGAATGAATTGGTGACGAGACACGGGGGTTGTCTAATCAGTACTGGGAAAGGCCCGACTCTTTGTTCTCCAGGCAAAGCATTGGTGGATGAGGTGACCAACCCACAGCTCCAGCTCTGAGTTCAGGCAATTTAAAACCTGGCCAAGGGGAGTAAATCTGATGACATCACACGGGAGGTGCAGGTGAAGCCAAATGTGAGAGCCCAGGCTGGGAGAGTCATCTGTTTTGAGAATCAGGGTATAACTAGTGTGTTAGAGGCATTGCTGTGTTATTAATCAGCCTTCTATATTGAAAAGTCCCTGTCATCTTTAAAAAAAAAAAGTCAATTGTTTTGCTTTCTGACCATTATCTTCTGGAGTGTTGTCATTGCATGGCACACTCAGATTTCTTATCAAGGAAACACCCATAACTCCTACAAAGTTCTCCTTTTCTATGTCCTGGTGGCTGCCGAGAGACACTTGAAGAGAATAAACTCAAAGCAGGCAAACTCTGGGGCCTCAGAAACCAAAAACAAAAAGCAGTTTGTGCAGGTCAAAATGAGGATAAAATAGCAATTTCTCTCTGTCCTGCCTCATATCCCAGAGCTGCTGGCACAGCTGGTGCCTGGCATGTGGAAATCATGGCCCCAGTGACAGAAGTCATGAGGGCAGCAGTTTGGTGGTTCACATTTGGGGCAAGATGGCCTTCTAGGTAGCATCCACTGAAATTCTGCTCTCTTTCCAGGACTATCAAAAATCTCCTCTTTGTCAACTTGTTCCTGGGACTTGCCTTCCTCTTGGGATTCTTCCATGCAAGTAGCAGGAACCACCTGTAAGTCTTATCACAGCAAGAGCAGCCATTTGCTTGACTTGATGCACACAGTGCAGCGCGGAGCTAACCTGTGACACTTGAGTTAGCTCCCTTGATTTAAGCTGACGCTGCCAGCTTAAGAGATGGGGTATGGCTCTGGAAGGGCTGTTTTCCCCATGTGTTGCCTTCCTGCAGATTCCAGAAGAGTTCTGCAGAGCTGCTGGCGTCCCCCACGCCCTGCAAAGCCAAGACCAACATCATGTTCCTCAAGACCCACAAGACTGCCAGCAGCACCATCCTCAACATCCTGTTCCGCTTCACTGAGAAGCACAAACTCACAGCTGCCCTCCCTGCTGGCCAGGAGTTCCACCTGGGTTACCCACAGAGATTCATCACCAATTTTGTGGAGGGTTTTCAAACCCGAAAGCAAAACTACAACATCATGTGCAACCACCTGCGCTTCAACCCCTCTGAGGTAAGAGCCCTGGCACACGTGGAGAAACTGAAGGATGCCACCTCCCTGGGTTTGTGCAAGGCCTTTGGCATGGCCTTTCACCACATCCTTACCTCTAAATTAGATACATATGGATTTGAAAGCTGCACTACTTGGTGGATTAGGAACTGAGGGGATGGTGGTAGCCAGGGGGTTGTTGTCAATGGCTCTATGTCCAGATGGAGGACGGTCATGAGTGGTGTCCCTGGGGTCAGCAGTGCTCTTCCACATCGTTATCAATGACATGGACAGGTCAGCAAGTTTGTTGGTGACACCGAGCTGAGTGGTGGACCTGGACATGCTCAAAATGTGGGCACGTGAGAATCTAATCTGTCCTAACAGCCTTCTTCTTCCCCCCTCACGCACAGGTGCACAAGGTGATGGCAAAGAACACCTTTTATTTCTCCATCCTGAGGAACCCCATTGATCTGCTGGAATCTTCCTATGTCTACTACAAGAACATAGCCCCTGCATTCAGGAGATCCAAGGACGTGAATGATTACCTGGCATCACCCCTGAAATATTACCTTAAGGAGGACTACATGAGTAACATCTATGCCAAGAATAACATGTGGTTTGACTTCGGCTATGATAACAATGCAGAGGACAACGAAAAGTATATTCAGTCCATCTTGGATGAGACTGAAGAGAACTTCCACCTGATCTTGATAGCAGACTACTTTGATGAGTCCATGATCCTCCTGAAACGCACCTTGTGCTGGGATTTAGATGATGTGATTTACTTCAAACTCAATTCCAGGAGCAACGAGACTGTCCAGACCCTGACTCCAGAAAGCAAGGAGAGAGTAAAAAAGTGGTGCTCGCTGGACTGGAAGCTCTACCTGCACTTCAACCAGAGCTTCTGGAAGAGGATTGAGGAGACCATAGGATTTGAGGAGCTGAAGAAGGAGGTAAATGACCTGCGAATGAGGCAGAAGGAGCTCATGGAGACCTGCCTCTTGAACCAGGAGGCTGTGGCGAAGGATCACATCAAGGACAAGGCTCTCCTGCCTTTCCAGCCGGGGATGGCAAATATCCTTGGTTATAACCTCAGGCAGGACTTAGACAACGACACCCTGAAAAACTGCCAGAAAATGGTTGCACCAGAGCTCCAGTACATGTCCTACCTCTACTCCCTCCAGTACCCACACAACCAGAGGAAGCCCATAAACTTTCCCAAGCAGTGGAGCAGTTCTCAGAAGACGTAATCCCCTACTTTGCAGCTACAGCATCCCACTGCTGCAGCCTTTTGCACTGGCTGAGTTTGGCGATGAGACTCTTGCACAGGATGGGGAGGCTGGGGGTCATTTGAGAGCTACTTCCACCCTCTGTCATTCATTCTGTGGGAAAAAAAAAAAAAAAAGTGATCTTTTATTTCTTTATATTTACCGCCTTTTTCATTATGTGGATGCCAGACCTTCTGAGGGGCACGGCCTCTTCTTGGTACTGAGGCTGCAGCCACCATGTATCTGGACCTTCCAGATTTGCTGAGACTGTAGCAGAAGGCCTCCAGGCAAGGACACAGCCTTAGCTGGGTAATGCTCGAGTCCATGACGCTGCTGTCACATGCAGGGGACAGCCTGGTGCTGCTGGGCACTGGTAGGCTCTTGGACTGGGCTAGGCTTTCTTTCCACTTAAACATTAATCATGAGTTCAATCGTTTGATTTGCATTTGACCTTTCTTAATGGAGGTCGTTACTTTAACAGCTGGTTAAATCTCACTAGAGCAAGTCCTGGTTTCCTGCTTTTAGGAACCCAAAATAAAAGGAGTGAAGGGAACGAGGACAGGAGTGCGCAAAGGGAATGCAGCAGTGGAAGGCACAGGAGCACAGGAGGGGAATGAGTGTTCCAGGCTGGCAGCATCGGTGTTTTAGCATCAGCAGAGACTTTGCCACGTTCTGTTGCTCCCACGGCCAAACTCTCCATCACCAGTTAGGAGAGGGGTCCAGGGAGGCACTTCCACATCACATCCACTGTGATGGAGAGAATGAATCAAACTCCTGGCACTTCTGCACGTGGCCAATTCACAGGGAGCAGAGCAGTGCCATCACACCACAGCTGGGCTTGGGTTTCTGGAGCCCATTGCCAGCTTCTACAATGCCTGCCTCCACATATGGTGCAGGATTTCAGGTTTAACCAGGGTGCCCTCCCTCCCATGCAAGTCAGCGGTAAGGGATGTACGTGGGAAGTTTTTAGGACAGCTGTGGCACAACTTGCTAATGTGCAATTTGTTCCACACTGCTTCACATAGGTGTTCAAGGTATTGAGCTGCCTGATGGTGAGGGAGGCCACAATGGGCCATTTTGGCAGCTGGAGCAGCTCCCTGGGGCAGAGCAAGCAGCAGAGGGGGTGGCAGTGCATGGCTATGGTGAATCCAGAGGCCCCAACACCACTCCCCGGGTGGCAGGAGGGAAATGGAGCCAGGAGGCACATCCTCTTGGCATCCTCTACCCCCCAGCCCTGAGCCCAGGCACACAGCGAGGGGCCCAGGCTCTGCTGCCTGATAATGGTGCCTTTGTGCTGCTGCTGACTCAGGGCTTTTTGCTGGGCCCCGTGACCCATCTGTGGGGGACAACGCAAGGGGAGACGCAGCCGGCAGCAGGGGACAGAGCTGCGCTGCACAGGATCGGGTGAGTGCCTGAGCTTTATCTGCAGGGCGTTGGGCAAAGCCGCTACACAGAATGCAGGTGAGTGCCCCAGCCAACAGCACAGGGCAGGCAGCACCCCTGGGCCTTTGGTGGGAACGCAACAGAGGGAGGAGCTGATGAGATCCCATCACTCAGCTCACAGGACGTGCGTGGGGACAGCTCTGCCCCCTCCATTTCCCATTCCAGCCCTGGCCAGCCTGGGTTTGCAGAACCCCATTGCAACCAGCAGCATGGAGAGCAGCCTTGTCTTCTCTTTCGGCAGCACCGCATCTCCCACTCCCCACCTCGGTGGGGGCTGCCCTCTCTTTCCTGCAGGAACCATGGGCTCCCGGCACTTCCCTGCCCGGACTGTGCTCTTTGAGAAGGAGTCCACTGGTGTCACATACCGCGTGCCAGCCCTGCTCTACCTGCCCTGCGTGGCCAAGCTGCTGGCCTTTGCCGAGGAGCGGCTGAGCGCCGATGATGCCCACGCCAACCTGCTGGTGCTGCGCCGTGGCACCGTCTATGGCAGCTACGTGGAGGTGGGACGGGGTCCACGGGGAGGGAGAATGGCCCAAGGGTCCTGGGGGCTCACTACTCCCTCTCCAAGCAGTGGGAAGACATGCGGGTGCTGGAGACAGCAGCATTGCAGCACCACCGCTCGATGAACCCCTGCCCGCTCTACGATGAGTTCACCGGCACCCTCTTCCTCTTCTTCATCACGGTGCTGGGCAGGACACCCGAAGCCTTCCAGATTGTCACTGGGCAGAATGTCACTCGCCTCTGCTGTGTCACCAGCGCCGATCAGGGCCTGAGCTGGAGCAAAGCCACTGACCTGACGCAGCAGGTCATCGGCAGGGCCATCAAAGGTAGCAGCGTGGCCACGCAGGGCAGTGGGAGGGCCAGTGCAGTGGCTAGCAAAGGCCTCAGCCTGCAGCCCCATGTTGCGTGGCTGGGGTCCAGTGAGGGTCTGAGGGCAGAAATGTGGCTCGTGATGGAGGGGACCACTGGTAACACTTGTCCCCCTGTCCCCAGAGTGGGCCACCTTCGCGCTGGGCCCAGGGCATGGGATCCAGCTGCGCTCCGGCCGGCTGCTGGTGCCCGCCTACAGCTACCACATCGACTGCAAGGAGTGCTTCGGGCAGCTCTGCAAGACCACCCCGCACTCTTTCGCCTTCTACAGTGACGACCACGGCCAGGGATGGCGTTTTGGGGAGTTCATCCCCAACCTGCAGACAGGAGAGTGCCAGCTGGTCTCGGTGGATGAGGAGGATGGCTCCAACGTCCTCTACTGCAACGCCCGCAGCTCCCTGGGCTTCCGTGTCCAGGCACTGAGCACTGATGACGGGGCTGTTTTCCATGGGGGGCAGCTGGTCCCACGGCTGGTCGAGCCCCCACACGGCTGCCACGGCAGCATCATCGGCTTCCCCGCACCTTTGGTGTACGGCCCTCAGCCCCGCTCAGCTCTGCAGGCACTCCCTGCCACGGTTGCTGGCAGCAGGACTTCAACAGGACCTCGCAGCTGCTCCTCACTCCAAGGGGATCCCCAAGGCACTTCTGGGCCCTTCTTTCAAGCGCCGACATGGGTGCTCTACTCACACCCCACCAGCTCCATGTCGCGGGTCAACATGGGGGTTCACCTGAGCACCTTCCCCAGGGATGCAGACAGCTGGACTGAGCCCTGGGTCATCTACGAGGGCCCGAGCGCTTACTCAGACCTGGCTTACATGGAGCTGCCCCACAGCCAGTTTCCCGTCTCTGGTGGCCCGGCCATTGCTTTTGCCTGTCTGTACGAGAATGGGAAGCGCTCGCCCTATGAGCAGATCTCCTTCAGCATGTTCACGCTGCACGACGTGCTCCAGAACATCCCCCTGACGGCTGCAGTGCCCCACAGGAAGCGAAGGCGAAGGAGCTGTTGTGTCTGCTAGAGCCGCCCGCAGCGTCCCCTGGCAGGGGACAGCCACGGGCAGATGGGGCCGGCTGCCACCGGTGGCCAGGCTGGAGCTAGTGGCACCTGGGGACAGCCTGGCATGAGCCCTGTGGCACTGTGAGCAGTGCTGATGTTGGGATGCTGGGAGCTGGACCGTGCTGAGGGCTGCTGCCCCAAAACAGGGTTTTATCTCATTTTTATAGCTGATTTTCAAATATATGGTGGTTGGGCTTAAAAGTTCATGCTGATACGACCGTGTCACCCCAGTTCTCAGCCAACGTCCCTCTGTCCTACCACCCTTCCTCCATCTAAAATCCTTCTGAATAAATAACTGATTCCTAATGCCACTCCCCTGCCGCTTCCAGCTTCACACCTGTGCTGGAGATGCTATCTCACCTGCCCCCAAAAAACCCTGCCAGTGGGTAAGCTTCACACCCAGATCCACAGCACCCAAAAAGCCATATTCATGTGAATTAAAGAAGCAGCTAATCGCTTTCTCAAACACACACAGTCAACCAAATATCTGTGGAACCAAGAACCATCCAGATGTCGTCCTGAGGGGCACGGCCAGTGGGAACGGTGGGATGGGTTGTGTTTGGAGGTCTTTTCCAACCTTAACGACCCTATGAAATACACATTGAGTGGCACCAGCCTGACGTTGGCTGTGTGCGTGGATATATACGCATGAGTGTGAATTCTGAGGGACCTGCAGCCCATTTCCAGCACCGCCTCCATGCACAGCCCCAGCCCCGACCAAGCTGGGAGTCTGAGCTGCCCCTCACAGGAGGCACCACCACCGCAAAACAGATTAACAAAAATAAACCAGGCTTTTATTTACATACGTGGCTCAGGTGTGTCGCGGAATGGAAGACATGGAGTGAGCAGGAGTGGTCTCCCCAGAGGCCACAGCTGGGAAACATGGTCTCACCTCACCCCAGGCACACGGGAGAGCCCTGCCTCCTTCCTCTCACAGAAGCCGCAGAGGCACCCGGCGCAGCCGTTGATGATCTGGAGGAAGGTTAGCACCATCTCGGCAGCACTGATGAGCAGCAGGAGGGAGAAGAAGGTGACGTGCCATGCCACGATGCCCACCGGCTCCAGGCAGGTGCCCCAGGTGCTCGGGTAGAACAGGTAGAAATTCTCCAAGGCCCTGTACCGCATGAGGGACAGCATGAGCCACATGCAGCCTTCCCCGCTGTGGTCCTACTTTCCTGCCAACAACGTGAAGGCCCTGTACCTGTTGCTAGGGGTGTCCACGAAGGGGTAGTCCCAGATAAGGCCATTGCTGAGCTCAGTGGTGTTGTAGAGGCAGAGAGGGCCATCAGTCAGACCCAGCCCCGAGAAGAAGAAGCAGGCGGCAGAGCCCAGGAGAGCCAGCTTGGAGAGGACAACAGAGAGGAAGGCCTACAGGGAGCATGAGGTTTAGAGATGGGCAGAAGTGGGCAGGCAGGAGGAGTCCGCGCTCTGCCCTGACCTTCATTCAGGGGGCTGGGCATCGCACAGCATCTCGCTGCAGGGCCAGGGTTGAGGGAACATCGTGCAGTGCTCCACCGTGGAGCCAGAGGACAGGTGGCACCGTGCATTGTCCCACCACGTGACTGGTGACACCACGGATGTCTCACCACGTGCCCACGAGAGGTGGCCTTCCACAGACATCCCACCATGAGGTTACTGTGCCGTATCCCACAACATGGCCACGGGAGAGGGGACACTGTGTGATGTCCCCCCACAGGACAGTGGAGAGGACACTATGCAATGTCCTGCCATGGGGCCACAACGGAGGTGGCACCATATAACCTCCCACCAAGGGAGAGGAGGCACCCTACAATGCCCCACCACACACCCACAGGAGAGGGGACACGTCACCATGTCCCGCCCCACACCGTTGGGTACAACCTCCACCCTGACTTACGTTCCGACGGGTGCCGCAGTCGGAGCAGCAGGCGCATCGCCATCCCACAGCGGTGATGTGGATAGCTGCCAGCAGCACCTGCAGGAAGGAGAAAGTGGCCTGTGGGGACAAAGGGGAACAAAAGCAGGACGCTCAATCCTGCTCTTTGTCCTTGCTCTGTGCATGTTGGAGGAGGCCACGCAAGACACGGCGCTTACCATGACGCCGCCTCCCCAGGTGCCTGGCATGATCTTTGCCCTCCTGCTGATGTGCCCATCCACCAGGTACTGCCAGGACCCACCAGGGAAGAGCAGCAGGATGCTGGCCACCACGGAGAGCATGCCCAGCACCAGCAAGCAGGGGCCCACGATGCGGCTGCATCTCCCTACACACATTACCAACCTGCATGGAAAAGAGAGGAGGCGGCGGCTCTGGCTTTGCAGAAGCAGAACCCATGGGGTGCTGCGTGGTTGTTTCCATGGGAAGAGCTGCATCACAGCCCTGCTCCTGTGGAGGAATTGGGGTTGCCAATCCAATGTCAGGGCACTGCTGCTGCTGTTAGCTGGGAGCTCCAAGGCAGACTGCCAGCTCTGCCACCCATCCATCCAAGGCAGCTCTATCTCCTTTCTGATATCCATCATTCCCACTTTTGTAACAAACCCAAGACCTCTCATCCTTCCTGTTGTTCACCTAGAGTCAGGAGGACCCAGCACTGAGTCCTTTACTCCTCTGTAGTCCTTCCAGAAGAGCTCCTCGTTCCCTGGAGCTCACCCAGGGGGCTGCTCCAACCTCAGGCCTGCTGCAGGTCCCCCTTTGGCCTCAGCAGGGACTTCTCCCTCTCCCCCTCTCCCTGGGGGAATCTCCTCCCTCGCTCAGCACAGAAATGACAGAAGTGAAATTAGTCCATGGCCTAAAGCAAAAAGGATTCAAGCAGTATCTGGAGAAACCATTCTCCTTCCTCCAGGCTTACCTGGGAGCAAACGTGGGAGATATTGGCTGCGTGAAACCAGAGCTTCTCACCCTTCCTCGGAGTACCTCTGTCCTGGAAGAACACTGAGAGGCATCTCCCACGGGTCCTATTTATGATGCCCATCCCAGACATCCACCCACTGCATCAGTCATGTCACCATCATCCACAAAACCAGCAGCTCATGAGGAAGCATGACTGTCCCTCCGCACGGGGCAGCCCCCACCAGCGGCACCACCGTTTCCTTTACAACGAAACTGCCTCAAGGGAAGCAGATCCAGAAAGCAAATGAAAACAGGAGGAGCTGCACAGCTCCCTGGGCAGGGGGAGACCCACCAGCCGTGCAAACTGCAAGAAAAGACATCAATTCTTGCTGCCACAAGTCCAGCATGGAGAGGAATCCTGCGTAGGTCCTCTAGCCTGTAGAGGAATGGCAGCAATGCATTGCTCGGCTGCAGGGTGCTCCTGCAGGGCCTGGCTGCTCACCTCAGCCCACACCAGGTGGATATGGTGGATGCACAATGCAATGGTGCCTTGCTGCACGCGGGGATTCATTTCTAAGCAAGATGGTGCTGACTCATCCTCATCACACTGTCAGAGGCTGCAGCAGATGCGGCTGTATCTCACAGTGTTTCAGAGCAGAAGATCACTCCCAAGACCTAAGATATTATACATGGTATACAGCCCAACTTGTTCTACCTAGAGTAATGTGTGCAAGTGGTATTGCTCAACTTGGTTCAAAACGGCTTTTTCTGCATTCAGACCAACCTGGACAGGGACACTGAGATGATAAAACCTGCCTGAAGCACACTGTGCCACCAGAGAAATAGAAAAAGGAGCTGTGGCCCTCAGGCTCCACACGGCAGCAAGGAGCAAGCATTCTCACGTAGGATTCCTGACAGCAGGGAATAATTCCATTTCTCCTTTCTCTACTTTTTACAATGAGAGGAAGCATTTTCCACTTTACAGGAAGAAAACGTGTTGCAATTTTATCTCATGTCCTGTACGTCACAGCAACAAGCTTCCCACACACCTCACAGCCGCTCCCCATGAGACGTCAGCCGGATCTGTATCCCAACAATGCTGATCCTTACAGCCACCGCAGCTCAGTTCTCTAATAATAATTAAAAAAAGAGCTAATTTTAGCAGAGAATGGAGCAGCTCACGAGCACCATGACTCCCTGCTTGGCTTAAGAACGCGATTATGAAAGTGTAAGTGCAGCAATTAGTCAGATAACTTTCTGCCAAGTCACCCAGCCAAGCTGCTGCCAAGTGCAGCTCCATGAATAGCCATACTGCCCCACTGGGATCCCCAAGCCAACTCCTCCCCTGACAGCAGGTCACAGCAGTAAGGATGCTCACCAACACTTATCTGAGCTGTTCAGGTTGTTTTATCCCACCACACTTGATGCTCTCTGCAGCCCAGGTTTCGGCCACCACATTCATGTCCAGTTGTGCTCAGCACAACTCGGTGTCTCTCCCGCTCCTCCTGGTAGCATCCATAACTCGGTTTCCACCACTAAAACTGACCTACAGGTGGTTCACTGCCAAGGTGACCTCATTTGACCCGTGCTGAGTTTGGGGTTAGAACCCAGACTGAAGAAACACCAACGTGCTGCACCTGGACAATACGGCATTTGCTTTAACTTGCTCAGGTATTTCATAAAATTACTGCTCCAGATGAGATGAACCAATCCCATGAAAGTCAGCAGGTTGAAAGTCGGATCTGCTGAAAGAAAAAACACATGAAGAAAAAAACAAAGTGACATACACCCTATGGATCTACCCCACAGCTCCCTGCCTGTGACAAAATCCTCTTTTCAACTTGGTCAGAATGGGAAAGGTTTTCTTAAGCTGGATTGAAGAGCTCAGTAGGAGTGCACAAGCAAGCCTCTGGATTTGGCTCCTTCTTTACCACAGCAAGGAGAGGAGCACACACTGAAAACAGAAGACTAAATCTCTTCCAACACTGCCCTGGAGAGCTGGCTAGCACATCCTTCACATGCTGGTATCTTCCCACTCTTGAGAAAGCTTTGGGTTTGGACACGCCAAGCCAAACACATTCACACTTCTCTCGAGTGCATGCTGGAAACGAGTGACAGGGAACGCTGGTTTAAGGCTTCAGCATGGCACTGACAGTTACCCTATTCCAAAGCTTTCCATGAACGGGTTAAACAGTCACATACATAGAAACAGGGAAGTCCTTCTCTTCCTTTCCTTCTACCCCACAAAGGAAAAAGCCAAAACCTCTCAATATAACACAGGGACAGACTCCAGTTTGAAATCAAACAGAACAAAATCTCAGGAAATGAAGAAAGCTAGTGAAAACAGTTTGTTTTATTTCCAGGATCAAATATTACAATAGGACATTTACATATATTTATAAAAAATGCAGCAGTTGTGTATATAGATCAGAGGTTTCCTTGAGTTTGGTCCCTCCCAGCACAGTGAGCTGAAATCACCCAAATTAGTTCTCTCCCTCCTCCAGCATGAAGTTGCATCATTGAAGGAAAAAGTGACCAGTGTAAAAACCGGCAGGCGAAGCCCAAATTTGGAAACTGTAAGTTCACCCATGAGAGGACTCAGCCTCACTGAGAGTCATCTGCTGTACAGCCCGGTGTCTCTCATCAGACACCACGGCTCCGAGGCATGCTCTGCAGATTTGTTTCACACAGAGCTGTTGTATCAAATAGCACCTCGGCCCCCTGCTCCACGGCCTTCCCCTAGCTATCCTATCCCATCAAATCCCAGCACCCTTTCACAGGCAGATACAGAACTGCTCTTCCTCGTACTGCAGACGCAGTAATTAGATAGTGACCAAATCCCAAACTTCTGTGACTACTCACAATGTACCGGCAGCAAACAGGAGACAGAACGGACGAAGCCAAGGCACTGATGTTAAGTGCCACGTCCTCCAATTACAGATGTGTGTGTGTACACATATATACATATGGCTCTATTTAGGGAAGTGGACAGACACTAAGCACCTCATGGGCAAGAGAAGACAAGATTAGAAGTCATCTTGCAGCACACCACAGAAAGGGAGTCCATTAACCTTCAGGCTTGGGAGCAGGCAGCAGGATGCAGTGAGATCCTGCTTTCAGAAACAGCCCCTGCAAAGCTGTCCTCACAGGCTACAGTTCACCTTACAGCCACCTTACAGCAGACCTTAACAGTCATCACTGAAATGTTTGGCTGACTCCTAATGCAGCTGAAGGAATTTCCAACAACAGAGATGGCCAACGCAGGGCTCAGGTGGGAGTTTTGTATTGCCTTTAAGACAAAAGCTACGACACCTACAGAAATCATTTCTGTTGAAAAACAGCTGGACAAGGCAGACCCAATCTTCACAACGGACTTTGCTCTCCACCTCCACTTCAGCCACCTCTCCTCTCTTTGGCATACAGAGCTATTCTTTTCTACTAGCTGGATTAAAAAGGGATTAAACAAGGACAAAGCTGCGACAAGAAAAAAAGCTGTAACAAGTTGTTACTTCAAGTTCCTTAAATGACACGCATCCTCCCACTCACAGGGACTTCCCCACATGAAGCCAGATAACAGAGGCTCACATGGTTTGGAAAAACATCAGATGCATCTTGCCTGTTTGCTGCAGCCTTCAGCACCAGTCAAAATGCAGCTGAAGGGATGCTTCACTGTGATTTCCTGCCCCACAAGAAGGGGTGGAGCCCTTGTTACTCTTGAGTTCTTGCAACCCAACTCAATGGTCCAGCTCAGCGAGAACAAACTCAGTGAGCCAGGACAGAGCATCCCAGCTAGCAGACAAGGAGCCTGCTCTCAGAACCAGCTGTAATTTGCTGCCTGCAGGAGCTGCAAGCAATGCATGGTGCCCTCTGCAGCACAGTAGCTGTCGTCAAAGAACTCCTGCATGGAGATGCCTTTTTCTTTAAAGAACCAGAAAGGAAAGCCCCCATCCTCAGGATTAACTGTTCTGTTTCATTACCCGTAACTCAGACGTACTTCAAGCAAGAAGTTCTGAATAGTCACAGGGTATGTCAAACAGCAAAGCACACAGCTGCATGGAAGTTTTCTAAGTCTATGTGAGAACCCACCAGCAGTGAGGTTTACTCATTAAGTGCTAAAACCAGCTGCCAGTTTCTGATGGCAGCATGCGTACAAACCACAGCACCTGTAAATGTGGAAGCTGGTATGACTTGGTGCAGAGGAGCATGTACACTGACACTGATTGAGTTAATTAAGTAGTTAATTTGGTGAGCTGGTGCATAATCAAAATGGCCATTTATGTCTACGTCTGAAAATTGCTGCCCTTCTGTAGACAGCTCTGCTTTACAAGCTACACACACGCATTCTTTCAATACCAAGGTTGTCACCTTATCAGATTTTTCACCAGGAAGCATGACATTATTCAGTCCATAAATGTCAGAAGTGCAGAATCTCAGACCACGGTTCAAAGCCTAATGAAAACAACACAGGCACATCCAGCAACCTGTGACACAGCCTTCAGATGCCCTATTTCCTCCAGGAGAGGAGGCAACAGGGTTGAAGCCGGTTGGTCAGCCTGGCTGAGAGCAGGTACTGCTAGGAAGAGCCAAAATCCTTCCCTGGATCTCTGGAGGTCTGAGAGTGGGAAGCCAAAACAAAAGAGTGTGCTGACAGCAACAGGCAAAGAAAGCGAGGTCCAGCTGCTTGTGCTCTGTTTCTGGATGCTGGTTGTGACAGCAAAAATAAGCCAGTTAGACATTAAAAACCAAAACAAAAAAAACAAGCTAGATGAAGAACACATGCAAAGAAGGTTTCATTGCAAGCAGCAAGAAGCTGCAGCTTGAAGCACTTTAGCTCCCTACCAACAAAGCCTTCCACTGTCTGCCTCTGCTCGTGGCAGTCCTTTGCCATGCAAACTGTGGCCAAACAACACTGGAAACCACAAACCACAGACACTGAGGGATGATTTCCTTTGTCCTTCCAACTTCAACTTATTCTGCAATTAAGGATTTAAGGTGTTTTTTCCAGCCTCGTCAAAAGTAATTTGAGCTTCAAACTTAACATTCAGAAGCAACCATGACCAAGGCTCTTTCTAAATTGAGTCCAGGTGGCTTACACCTTCCCAGATACAAGCTGCCGCATGCTTAGCTCTGTTAATGTGTTCAGCCACATTCTTCAGGCCATCAAAACACGTTTCTCCAAACTCCAAAGAGCTCTGAATGAAAATCTGAGGAGCTGTGCCCCGGCTGGTGCTTTTTCTTCACAGCTTTCACAGCAGAGAACAGCTGGGTGATGTGAGCTGTGGCTCTGCTTTTACTGGGGTGGGAATAAGGGGGAAAAAAGGGAGAAGAATGAAAAGAGAGAAGAGGTGTGCACAGGGACACTTTAAGACCTCTCTGCCTCCAGCTCACAGGTCAAGGCAAAAGAAACCACAACATGCCAGAGAAACAAACAAACTCAACAACAGATCAGCTCATTATTTCTTGGAGCAGAACAAAGCATTAAGAACTGCCACAAAATAATTCTGAGTCCTTACCTGAAAGGGAAGAAAAATCCCATTTTTAATATGGTTTTGTTTTTTCTCCCCATTTCTTAATTTCCTGATCAGTTATAAAAGAATTGCTATTTGCTAATAAAAAGCCAAGAGACAGAAAGAAGACAAGAAATGAAACGAAAGACTTTTAGTCTTGATGGCTCAGGAAAAAACCTTGCCACATCCAAGTGCAACTTTTGGTTTCCTCTGCACAAGATGATTGAGCATAACAAAGGCAATGAGATGCTAAACCAGAACTTCCTGTTTTGGATTTGACAGCATGATCCTACAGCTAAGCACAGATTAAAGAAAGTCAGCTCCACAGCTCCTAGTTGTGGAAAATGGGGTCAGAAAGAAAGGCTCATAATATGGGACCATGCTGGTCTTCAGCATCAGAAATGAAGCTCGTGCTCCTGCCTGCAGTGCAGTTTTCCCTCTTTCCCTGATGCAGCCACTAGTTGATTTTTTTTTTTAACATCTAATTGCTGAAGCTTAAGTACATTAGTAAAACTGTGGAGAAGGATCAAAAGAGAAGCTACCAACGGAACAGGCACAAGACTGAAACAACAGAGTCAATTTTCTATGTTTAAGTTCACTATTAGGAAAGCTGATGTGGAACAATGTGCTCAGAGCAGATGCAACCCCCCCCGGCCAGTACCAAGATGCAGCCAGCCAGTCACAGCTTGAGAGACAGAAGCAAAAGTGCAAAGGCTGCTGTATACAGGGAGTGGCAGGAGAACAAGAAAAGTCAACATGCTCCCATGTCTGAGGGACAAGAAAGGACATCACGCTGATGCCAGGTGCTGTTTCCTGTTGGCAGCCCACCTTCTTGCAGCAATTCACTGAAGAAGAGGCAGCAAGTTTCAAGGTAATAAACATCAGAGTAGGATATTTAACTGGAGAGCTGAAATTACCTAAGTACCATACTTACACAGAAGGGTTTCCTTCTGCCCTACTCTTCTACTCCCAGGTGTGAGACAAGAATTTGGATATTCTAGAAGTTCTATAGATATCTTTCAGTCTAGAAATGCTGCTGCTGCTGCCCCAGAGGCCAAACACCAACACTCTCACCGTTCTGCTGGCCTTGTCATTCACCTTTTAGCGCTGCAAAACAGCCTCTTAAAGGAGCTCTACAAACCAAACCTGGCATCTGATGTCACATCACTCACTGGTCAGGAAAATGCCATCAGATTCTGCTTTCACAATGCAGTACCTTGCAGTAGAATGCAAAGACGTTAATGCAGAAGGAAAATGAATTTACACAACTGTATTGTTATACCATGGGGAATGCAAAACATTGTCCATGGCTTTCTCTATTTAAAGACTCCAAAGGCTGGTATGAAATTAAATGCACAAATATCTTGAAAAGTTTCAGGCTATAGAAAACTTCTGACCACTGAAGTCACATGTATGAACCACCTGACAGTTACAGGAAGTTACAGAAGGACTCGTATGCCTTTTTCCTCCCTGATGAAGAACATTAAATTGGATGCTTAACTGTAAATAAACACACTGCACATCCATCATGCAGATGGCAGTGTTAACTGACTTTTGTTTCCTGTAACCTATGCTGTACCAATGGCTCAATGTCCAGGTGAGACACTGGGAAAACAGGGCACTTGGCATACACACAGGATGTGCCTGCATGAATTCTGCTGCCAGCTTTCGTAGCTGAAATGAAACCACAAATAAAGGAGTAGCTTTCAATACATCCTTCCAGGTTTAGTGGTAAATGACAGCAGATTAAGATTACAATAGAATAAAAAGCAGCCTGGAGCTGCCACCAGCTATAAAGTCTTTTATGAAGTACTAATTCCTTCCACAGTTTTAACAAGGCTATTTATGGTTTGAATTAATGACAGGAACCCTGCCTAGGACTTGCTGTCCTGCCCAACTGCAGTCTGTGCTCTAATGCCAACTTACAAATTAGTCACCCCTGGTGCAGCAGTGACATACAGAAGGAGGGAGGGAAAAAAAAGCCAACTACTTGTCAAGTTTACTCCATGTTTTCCACACTCCCAAGGTCTTCACTGAATCATGCCACCTTCTATTGTCAGCTGCAAAATCCTGAAAGCAAGTAAAAAGGAGAAAAAACAGAATTTCCCCCTCCTTGCAGGGAGGAGTTGATACTGCAGCAAAAGCAGACCCAACTTTTCAAGTCTTTTTTTTTTTTTTGGAGGGGGGATCCTTGCTTTTTTCATAAAAAAAATGATGAAACCTGCATCCATTGGCAGCATTTAAAGGATGATGAGAGCATGCATGCAGCCTAGAAGCCTATTAGGTAGGGGCAGAGAATCTTGCCACAGCTCCTGAACTCCTTTCCAAAGTAAGTTTCAGCAGACTGCAAGGTAAGTGAATGATCTCAAGAATGCTGTAAGGTTAATGGAGAACCTTCACATGGAGAATCAAAGCAAACGAAAGACTGTAATAAAGATTACACTCTCTCTTTACAGAGGTGACTCAGTGCCTTATCAAACAGTGTTTTCAAATACAAATTAAATGAAACTGATTAAAGAACAGCAGCGAGCAGGGTGTGTCTACTACAGCCACTCCAAGTCCCAGCACACTGCATTCATAGGTCCCTGTTCTACTTCATGAAAACAAAGGAAAGATGTTCTTCCCAAGGGCTCAAGCTGGGAACAAAAACAGAACTCTGAACACGCTCAATTGTCGCTAGAGCAGAAGGGAAGAAGAGAGAGAAGGGCCAGCCAGCTGCCTGCCTGATTTTAGCACTGCAATCCTATGACCCTCAACTGCATATCAACGAGTTGGTGTCCTAGGCAAAGAGGAGAGGGGAGGAAGGCTGGGAGAACTCAGGCCACAGTGCTAATTCCTTTCCTGCACAAAGACAGTCTCTTGAGGACACAGGCCTGCCTCCTGTAATGTGATCTCATAGTCCAGGTGAGAGAGTTTCCTTCGAGGGAAGTTGGTGAGGAGTTCAAAGCGTTCGTTGGGGTACCCTTTTGACTGGACATGTTTCACAAGAGCCTAGAGAGGAAGGAAGGCAAAAAAGGGTCATTCAATTGAAACAAACAAACAACAACCCACAGAAAGCGTCACAAAATTATCCCTCTTAAAAGAGAAGTTCGTTATGACAGAGAAGGGAAATCTGCATGTAATATGGATCTCAACTTCTTCACTATGTAATTTGGTCCTTGTATGCCATAAAACATAGAAGCTAATTATCCAACAGATTATTTAAACAGAAGGAAGATATACGTAACAGTACACTAATTTAAGTGATCTGAATTCCACATCACACGTTCAAGTCACAGCAAAACGAAAGTTGCAAAACAATCTGTTCAGTGCCCCAAAACAAAAGCCCCTCACCTGTTTACTGACATTACCTTTATGTTAAACCTAAAAGGCACCAAAGAAGTATTTTTGTTGGGTGACACTGATAAATACAGCATTTTTTCTGAGGGTTTGAATATTCTCCTGCCTTCAAAAAAGCATGAGGTCTGGGGGATCCTTCTCTTCCTTTCTTTCAAAAGCAATTCTCAGCTCATTGACTTCTCTGCTTACAGTAGCAATCAAGGAAGGATATAGAGGGTACTGGGAGATGGGCTATCAGCAAATCCAACAGACACATCAGAAGAGCTGATGCCCATGCTACACAAGAAAGATTTCCCAAGATCATCAACAAACACAGCAGATGAGAGGGTAAAGCAGGGGCAGACAGGACAGAGAAATGAAGACAAGCTGAGGAATGACAGGGAGTACAGTGAGAGAGCAAAACTCAGGCAGAATGAACAGTCATAGCACTGCTCCAACGTCTTGGGGCATCAGTGAAGGAGGGGCACCTGAGGGGTGATGCAAGTGCACAGGTGATGGACTGGAAAGAAGTGGCTCCACTTGAGTTAAGATTACTTGAGAAATATTATAGAGATGACTGCTATGACAAAGTAAGAATGAAAACCTGGCAAAGCAAAGCGGTTTCCTACAGTAAGTGTCCCTCAGAATTTATTTCAGCCTCAGAACTCCACGTTGACCTCTGAAATGACGCTTGGTTTTGAGAGAGCTGATGCTGGATTTTTGGATGCTTTTGTTTCCTATTTAAAGCTTTCATGTAAAACAGCAAGGATGAAAAACATGAGTTTGAAACGAGGTCAGTTTCTACCTGGAGTTTTGCAGACCAGGTTCTGTAGTCTCATTTTCTTTGAGGGATATAAGCACTTCTCTCACCAATGTCATTGGTGCCACCATAGGAAAATAAATTCTCCATTTTCAGCTCCCCTGTACTCAAACAAGGAACTCCAAGTAACCCCACTCACCAGAAGTTTAGCTTGTTCAGGCAGTGAAATTTGTTCTCTCTTTCCATCTGGATACCTTAGCATCAGCTGTGCCTTTGGTCCTAGTACAAAAGGAAGTTACTACAAGTTAACAAACAAGGCAGCTGAACCGAGCTCTCTGTAGTTTTGGTCGTGGCACACTTTACTGCATAGAACAGTAGGGTTAGGGACTGGAGACAAGCACAGAACTTTTTAGCACGCAGTGTTTCAGTCTCTGAAGAGATACTTGTACAGCATGTGTTCAAAATAAACACAAGAGTTCACAATAGTGACCAAAATCAGCCTGGGTTCCTAGAGGAAAGTACACTGTGCTACCTTTGCTTTTGAGAGCATTCCACAGGGCTGCATGCCAGCTCACAGCTGCAAGGAGGCACACAGACTCCTGGGATTTGTTTGTATAAGCAAAAGTCCAGCCCCTCAAGGCAGTCAAGCCAGGCACGAGGTAAAGCTAACATCATTTCACTTCTACCACACTGGTAGAAGCCTGTCACAGCTGCCTGCACTACACCCATGGGAATTTCATTCAACAAGGTCACAAAACTAAGGCATGTGAGTGACTAATATGAAACCACTACATCAAAGTGTTGACAAAGTAAATCATCTAGTATCAACGAGGGAGTGAGATAGCAGGAAAGGTTTAGCTTTTCAAAACAAAGGCTGAAAATATGCTTGTCAGGGTTTAACAGTTTTCAGAACAAAAGCAAAACACAGGTCACTATAAAAAATAAAAATAAAAACAATCTGTGGCCACTCACCATTCACATCTAGGCCCTGCAACATACTTTCAGGCTTGTCAGCTGGCTCCTCCACCACCCCTGCATCAATGCAGGGCAGTACCCTGTGATTTGATGTTGTCCCAGGCTCAGTCCTTGCAGGGGGCTCAGGCTGAGGCCTCCGGCTTTCCTCTTTTTTGTACCCCAAGTCTTTGTGTGGAGACTTCCTCAACTTGGCAGGATTCTCCGATTCCTCCTCCTCCTCAGATCCGCAAACAGAAATGAACTCTTCGCTTCCAGAAAAAAGCTCTGACTCAGATTCCTCATCTGATCGACTCTCCTGCTTGGTCTGTGAGGAATCAAAATGTGTTTCCTGTAACGAAGCTCTGATAGCAGCTTCCAGCTGGCTGTCCTCACTGGCATCAATGAGGCTCTCCTGTTGAGCAGACAGAGGAAAAAGGCATAAGGATATTTTCAGACATACTGAAAATCCAGACAATATCAAACATTCCAAAGGGAAGCTACTAAAACAGTCATGAACAAACAGCATGGAAAGCCAGTCATCCTGTAACTGCTTAATGATTCCTCCTTGGAGCTTCACATGGAGTAATACGTCTTCTTCCCACACAACCCTGCGACTGTTAACAAACAGTCAAACAAATGTAACAAAACAAATGATCTAAATGTAAACTGCATAACAAAAATAGCTGTCGAGGTAGAAAGCACTCCCTTCGTGCATTACTTTCACATTTTGCACACTCTTCCACTAATTCATTAAGTCTGTTTATACACTACTGAACTGGAAACCGGTGCAGCTGCACAGAGACACAGCACATTTCATTTCAGGTTTCTGCAGTCCTCCTAGAGGGCGTCCTACTCACCGAACGGGAGCATTTTTGGGGAGGGTTGGTAGAATGCCCATCCAGCTGCCCGTGCTCACTCAGGAACCCGGTCACTTGGTCCAAGAAAGAGGTCACGTCCAGTTGGTGCCACTCCACTAGTTTCTGGCCTGGGAAACATACAGCACTGTGAAGTCTATGTTCAGCAACAACTCCTCAAAGATTGCAGCATAGCTGTCAAAAACATCAGCTCACTCCTGTGCACGTGCTATGCAAGAATCCACATCTGTGGAACTGTAGCTGCCCACAGGCCACCACCTGATCATTACAAAGCTTCCTCCCTCTACCCCCTTGAAAAGCCTTATTTTTTGTTCTTTTCTGAGAAAATATGCATCCAGAAAGGTGAATTGGATATTAAAATTAAAAAACACAGAACACTAATTTTATGAAGTTATACACTCTTCCTGCTTCGATTCTGCCTCTTGGTAAACAGCATCTGCTTCCATTAGTGCTAGGAAGAGTATCTTAACTTCAGTTTCAACAACAGCAAAAAATGTTTTGAGGTGGTTAAATCAAATGGTGAGAAATTTCAGCTCTGATTAAAGAAACTATTACTTCAATTCCTGAGAAGCATGAGACCGAACCATTAATACAGCAGCCTTCTATGATGACAGAAGAGGCAACGTGTTGGCATACAAAACAAAAAGGTCCAACTTCAAGAGCAATGGAGAAAAAGGTAACATTTATTTATTTTTTAACTGAACAATCAAATTGGTATTTGAAAATTCAGATGCAATTTAATAAGTCATCGCTAAGCCTCATTAAGCTACTGTGACAGGAATGGGATTGCAGATTCGTATTCATGTCATGGGTAAGTGACCTGACAAATTCATCACAAGATTTCAAGTAGCTTTTAAAACACCACTTACAAAAAAACGTTGATTTTGGAGTTCCACCACCAGGTGGTACTATTTTCAATTTCTACACAAAGTGCTCAATAAGCCATAGCAAGTACCATCATCCAACACAGCATTTCAGAAAGGCTTGGGAGTTTTGCTCCTTCAGTGCCTCCAGAAGTTACTATTTCATTTCTACAGGGATGAGAAGTCTCACAGGGTAATGTGGTAAGGAAGAAGCTTCAGTGTAACACTGTGCCAAGGATGACAGTACTCCAGCTCACAGCTGCCACTCCAAGTAACTGTCCCTTATCTTACCTGTCCTGGGATCCAGGATGGAGACATAAGGGAAGTCTGCTAATTTATAAAACTGTATGTACCTCTGCCCCTCCTCACTGTCGTGATAGACCTACAAAATACCACGTTGAAAGCAAGTTACTGAGTGGAAAGGGAACACGAACGACCGTGAAAACATACCAAGTTTTTCTCTATTGTACAGTGCATGCAACAAATAGCAAACACAAGTCTCAGCAACTTCTACAACTGAACATGCACCCCTACCAGTGTATGTATTAGTGGTTCAGCAATAACATTTTCAATCAGAAGTAAAAGGCTGCTTAGGCATTAAAATGCACACCCTTAACCTCTGCAGTTCTCCAAGAGAACCACAGTAGCGCTGTTGTAATCAAAGACAACTGCTTTCACTGTCCCACCTAACAGGGCATCAAGTTACTGGTGTGGCTCTGTTAAATTTCCCACCCACAGAATTCTGTGATTCTACCTGCCAAAAAATGAAATGCTCCCTGATGATGTTCTTCACAGCCTCATTGCTCCATACGTCGCGGTTCAGACACTGGCACGCAAAATCTTGCACGTTCTGAATGTTTATCATGAGCCATTTGTTCTGCATCTGACCACACTCCTTGGCCTGTAAGCAGAGAGCAAAGCTTCATTAGCTAACATCGAAGAGCACGACACAAACAATGCCAGCAATGATCAGTGATGGCTTCTAGCAGTGTCAGAATTTTCACCAAAACCCCTTCAGAGTGAGAAAGATGGACCGAGCTAGCGCAAAGGCATCCACAAAACAGAAGGCAGGGCTGAAAGACCTGCTTAAATGAGATTGGTTAAATTACAGAATCACATCGATGAACAGAGCTGCTGGAGTTCAACAAGCCAAGCACAGAGTGGGAAAAGCAGCTTTGGCAGTGGGGCAGGGGAGCGAGTTGTGGGGAAAGGCACTGAATTCAGTACTTGTTCAGGGAAGAGTGCAGTCAAACCACGCCAATCTGACAACAGAGGAAAGACCTGCTCACTCCAGAGATAAACCTGTGGATCATCTTCTACTTAAGCAGACAACACAATTGACAGAGGATATGCATCAATGCAGTTGGACCTCCTCTCTTGGCTTTTTTGTTTGTTTTTGCCCCTCTCTCTCAAGGTTTTGAGTCACGCTATTACTGCAACTGCCAAATTCGGCATCCTTTTTTGATGCTCCTTATCCAGACTGCAAGTTGGGAGGAAGACGGGAAGGTGCAGGAAGAAATCTTACTGGTTTGAGTCACAAAGCTGGCATAGTCTGATTGCTTGGTGGCAAGATAATGGTAGGAGTTTGATCAAGAATGTAATTCTGATCGCTGAATTGCCATACCTGTTGAAAAAAAGAGGGCTATATCAACAGCAGGAATGCTCTTACCATCTGGAGAGACTGGAACTTGCAAATGAATGCCCCTTCCTTCTTAAAAAAAGTATGCATATATTTATAAGTGCATTCACTATCCTGCTGGCCAGGCACCTAACAGCAAATTCACGTCATCAGAACGCTACAAGAGATTTTGCTGTTTTTGGTGGCAGTTTGTTCCCCAAAGCAAGGTTTTTAATTTCAGATGGACTTTTAGCCAGCACACCTCAGGACAGTCAGTCTGCCTGATGCAAGACAGCTGCATGAACCCCATCCACTTAGCTTAAAGCGTAAGCCTCAATGCACTTGGTAAACCAGTAAATATCAAACTGGAAGCCTGCTCACTGTTCAGCAGATCTCGGTCTACAAAATACGTTCTGCATGGCCAAAGGACCTGCAGACAATTTTTATTTTATTCAAAGGAAAGCTGTTACAGAAAAAAACATGAATGTAGAAGCGTGGAATACTCATTCTGTCCTCACAGGCACCACTAATGTTACCAAGTGAGAAGCCTGTATTTGGTTTCCAGAGGGGAAAAATGCAGCAGGTGACACCTGGGTAACTGATAATGGTTTTAAATATATCCATTATTCTTTTATTTAAAAAAAATTATCTTGAACTAACTGGGGGATTTGAGAACTAATTCTAGGCAGTTTAAGATGAGGCCCAGAGGTACCACTCAAAAATAAGGGGAACACCGTGAATATGCAGCTTCAGTTAATCACATTGCCTTAGTCCTGTGTTCTAATGTAATCCATACGTGACTAAATGAAGAAACTCAGAAATACATAACTAGCATACCTGGAAGTGCATCTCACTCTTCTACACTTTGCATATTTTTTAACATTAGAGAAAACCTGACTCCTCCTCTCCTCCATCCAGCTACTGCACTTGAAAGGGTGCAAGCAGGAAATTCCACACGCAACTTTTGGAAAGATGAGTTTTCAACTGTACAGCAGCTCCAGCTCTTGAAACTCCTTTTAACTTCCTTGTAAAAGCAATAGGTTTCATGTTTAACATTTAAGAGGACAACAGTTATACTGCTACCATCTCACACACATATATAACCACGCTCTTACACAGATATTGGTTTGCTTTAAGGGTAGGGGGGGTACAGAGGGAAGAAATATTGTGGGTATAGAGATTATATGGATGGATCATTTTCATCAATGACCAAAATAATGTTGCAGGGCTCAAGAGCTGGCTTGTGTAGCCTGCAAGTGATGTCTGATGGCTTCAGAAACAGTTTATTACACCAGTTTCCAACCACCACTTCTTCTTAACTTAACTTAGGTGCACTTAAACAGCACCTAAACAGGATGAGAACAGAGCAATTGCTCCTTACAAGTATTCTAATTCACACTTTAGATAGCAGAGTAGGAGCTTCCAAAGAAAGAGGCAGTGATTCTTAAATACCACATGACAGATGTAAAAAACCACCCATGTCCCCTGAATTCCCCTTCCCATTTTCTAGGCATCCACATTTTTTCATCACAACAACTTAGGGCAACAAACCAGCAATCCAGCCAGACAAAGTAAGGAAAGTTATTTTACGCTCACTGCTGGCTCCCACTGGAGAAACTAACTCATGTACTGCTAAAAACAATACGTCATCCTCTTTCATTTGATTTTTCTGAACCATGAGCAGTTTATAAGTTTTGTGTGGTTTCTTGTTTGGCTTTGTTGAAATTCACTGCCCTCCTTCAGTGGGCAGAGAGAAACAAGGAAGCCGAGCCAGCATCTTGTGAGCTTCCAGACATCTGCTAGTTGAGCATAGTTCAGTTTGGGAGATAAGATAAAATCAGAATGAGAGATGTGCCTACCAAGATACATCCTATTTATATTAACATTACTTATGTTACAGTCCTTGCCTTGGTCAGCACAGAAAGACCAGCTTCTCTTCATAACCCAGCCATTCCCAAGCTAATGGTACACCAGCACACACAGTATAGCTAGACAGTGCAGAAGCACTGCATGTAAAAATAACTGCACTATTCAACTACAAAACTAGATCAGCTTCTGAGCTATTACTGCTCGCTTCATAAAAACAAAAAAAAATGTTTTTAAAACCATCAGCATCAGCAGGAAGAGAACCTGTACAATGAGGAAATTTCATATAGACAGACTTTAAATTGCAACGTCACGCTGCTGCTTCACAGAAGTGCCAAAATCCTAAGGAGCATTAAGCACAGAAAACTATCTGCTTCCAAAACAAGAAATGCAAAGTAGGTCAATTTGGGGCACGCTCTCTGCACATTAAACTGCATTTTACAGCATACACGCAAAGAAACAAACATATCTGATTGTAGAACAAAACCAAACCCTTCTTTAGAAAGTAAGTTTGGTCTGCTGCTCTAGTGATTTATTCTTAGCAGGTTCTGTGTTAAAGAGATGGTGAGTGTGAAGCTTCATATGCAACAAGGCTCAATTTTACAGTCAGGAAGCATCAGTTCAAATCCCTTGTGCAATCTGAATTGACCCTCAGCAGTTTCATTTCAGTTTCTCTGAAATACTCTAATAGCAGAGAAGGAGCAGTTACGTTAACATCTTGCTGGTGTATCAGCCATTTGCCTCTGGTTTACATGGCCCCAAGCCACCAGCCTACAGTAACTTGCATCGAGTGGCCCAGTTTTTGATGGAGCTGAAGTTAAACATTAATGCTCTTTTTCATTAGTGAAACAGCAGCTTTTTCACATCATATTGTTAAGGTTCTTCAGTGGGTTTTGTTACTCATTTTTTTTTGCATTCAAAGGAAAATGTATTTCCTTGTGCAAAACAAAAGACAACTGAGCCTACTTACTACAGAAACCAAAGTTAGAGCACCCTAACAGACACTGAGCAACAAGGATGCACGAAAACCTTACTGAGACCAGACACCACTGAAATATTGTTGCTGAGTTTGAATACCATCCTAAGTCTACAGGACAAAAGGCTGGTGGAACTTTCTTGCATACCTCTCCAGAGTTTAGAACACACCCATCATTTAAAAAAATGAAACAAAAAAACCCACTGGAGGTAGTGCTAAAATACAAGTGCTCAAAATGACAGCATTTAGCCTTTTTTTAGTTACTGCAGATGTTTATCTAAGTGAACAGAGAAGGAATAAGCAAACAGCAGCTTGTTAAAATTGAATTTTGAGAAAGATTCTGGTCACTGGATTCACAGGAGGCCTGCCTTTATCCCAGGCTGAAGCAGCACAACAGTGTGCAGTCACAGAAGGTAAAATGGAAAGGGTAACGGCCCACAAACTGAGAAGCTAAAGATTATTTTTGCAAGGAAGTTTTGAAACGAAAAGTAACACATGAGACACGGAACTGTATGAGAACAGAAAAAAGCAAGCACGAATATCAGAAAGCATATGTCTCTGAATTACTGCAAAGAACAGGACAAGGTGTGTACATACATCACCCCTCTCCCTCCTCCCTCTTTTTTTAATTTATTTACAAGACTGAATAAGAACACATGGACTTCAGAGCATTCAAGCATATCAATCAGTTACATCATCCTCTGAAACGAATTATGATAATGACAGGTGCCATAGTAAATACTGCTAAAGGTCTTAACACGTTTTCAGTGACACATTAGGAAAGACTAGAAAACAAATTCCACAGCAGAGATTAGAGGGCACTTGCTGACTGTGTATACATTTCAGAACAGAGCAGCACTGGCTGTGCCTATGCAAATTCCCTTTTTGGTCCCTCAAGCCACAGGTTCACTCTGTTCACAACCAATCTAGATAGTCTCTAATCACTTGTTATGTCCCTAATTCATCCCATAACTAATTCTGACCAGATCCACAAAGCTGCCTGCACAGATAGAAAAGGGGACACTTGAGATCACTGGAAATCAGCAGGCCTCCTAGCTGTGCCCTTCTTAGGGGGGCAATCTCTCAGACAATTCTTCCACCACCACCAGAGGCAAAAGATGACCACAGTGATTTTGTACAAGAATAAGTCTTCTGGCACAAAGTTGTGCATTCATGACAATGCCATACACAGATACTTAAGTAGCTTTGGTATCAAAATTATTTAGCCATATTACCAAAACCGCATGAGCTTCTCTAGAGGCTCTGCTGCAAACTATATTGCCTCTTACAAAGTACTTTTGCTCACCTACTTTAGCTCAGCTACTTCTGCATCATGCAAGAGATTCAGTTCTTCCATTCTAGCCAGCCTCACTTGTATACAGAAGTGTTTCACCAAGTGTGATTTGCTGTACTGGCTTTTAAACATAATAAAAATGTGATCTACCAATGATAGTTAAGACCTTCAGAGGCAGTGTATCAAATATTTATCAATACAGGGTCTTCTAATTGTCCTGCACACACAGCCTAACAGAGGGCTTCCACACTGCACACAGCCACCACACAGGGAACTTACCAAAACTCAAAAACTCACCGTCTCAAAGCTGCCTTTGTGCATCAGATCAATGGGAGGCCTGAAGAGGTCTGCTAGGGTAGTGAGTTTCTTATCTACTGCTCCTCCATTTCGTAGCTCCTGTTCCTGTCGAACTGCACAGCCCCAAGAGGAAACAAAGCTGAGTTAGACCAAATACTCAAAGGATGTATTTATAGTTGAATATATTCCCATATACAAAACTTTGGTGAGACAATCGTAAGGTCAGACCACACTGAAGATCAGCTGTTGCTTTAGGTAAAGCTCCACTTGTCCTAACTCTTGCAAGCAGTGGGTGTTTATTTCACTTTTAAATACATCCTGGGTAGTGTAAGTATCAGTGGAGGTGGTCATATATCAATATTCAAAAACAAACAAGCAAAAAAAATTTTAAAAAGGCTATGACTTGCTCCCACTGATGCTATTAGACTGGAACAACTGAGCTACTCTGTAACACTACAACTTTACTAAGTATATTTCTAATTCAATGCTTCTAATACCTGAAGGTAAGGCACTCCCCACAGGAAGATTTAGTTCACTTGGAGAAATATATTTGCAAGTTTATATTAAACATCTACACTTCCCACAGTCAGTTCTGCATACCTCAATCTGCTAGATGTAGAGGTTTTCAGACTGTTTGTACCAAGTACCATACTTTGAGTTTCTATTGGTGTTATCACTTCCACTCAAAACAATACAGAGCACATTTCCTACATATACATGATCATATAAAATAAGGTAAATCACAGAAACTGCTCACCTAAAAATGCAGTGATATAATGCATTTTATGGAACCAAGTCAGCTGAAATGAGTAACCAACACATGACCCTAAAGCTTTCCCATCGTGTAAGGAAACATCAGTGGGCCATAGCATACAAACCATTTCTGAGCAGACATTGGATCCCTACAGGGATAGAAGTGCACTTGTGGTGTAGGCCTGGGAGCCAGGAAACAACATGGACTTTTAAGACTAGGGCCATTTCTTCAGAGGTAACAAGATGGTGATTTTCACCCATGAAATTTACCATCAAAACATCCAGTTTCATCAGAAACCTTCACAATGGTTTTACAGACCATGAAACTCTAAAGGACTTTGCTATAAGAGAGAAAATATAAGGGCACGAAGCTTCTGTAAATTCATGATTTTAATGTATGTAGCTGCCAGTGACTTTAACACCTGATTAGATTATTACTTCTGACAAACTGATCAAGGCTGTCAGGGGAAAGCCAGAGATGGTAAATGCTTATTTTCAGTTTGGCATATGACAGCACCTAACTCCTTGGGAACCAGGTCCTCGGTTAGAGCTCTTCAGGTCTCCAGAAGCATCAGTGGTAACAACTGCATAACAAACCTAACTGGGATGCAAAATAAATGGTGTTTGGCTCTCAGAGAATCCCTTTCTATGAAACTTAAATGCTTATATAACACCCAATGCTTTGTCTTTTGGAGAGCCTGCAAATGAATGGATAGGGAATGGTAAATAGATTAAATTCACTACAGTCAATTCACAAGGCCAAGGAAGAAGCCTCAGGGTTATACTCAAATCTAATTCAAGTGCCAAAGCCACCTATGGCTATCAAAGAAAAAAATAATAGGTAAACTCAATTTATACATGGGTATTGGACTGTTCTTCATTTTTAATTCTCTCTAAAGCAGAAAAAGGCTTTTTTGAGAGTTATCAAGAAAGCATTTGCCATAGGAAAGAAGGCAGAATATGCTGTCTCATGGTTTTACTTATGTAGCACAGGCAAGTACTTTGCACAGCACCCTCAGTACCTGCTTCATATATCCATCAACCAATGCTTTCCCTTCAGCCACTTCAGAACAAGGTAAGGTGCCTCAGAAATAAATTAATGCCACTTACTGTACCACAGACATGACAGAGTACTGTCAGCAAACAGCACTGTCACTACAACAAGGAACAGTCCAACAGTATTCTTCCCAAATAACATCTTACATGCAGTAAGCAATTAAAAAGCATTCAATGACTGAAAGCTATCACAGCCTACAGTGGAAACTAATTTGCAATCGCTGTTGTACTAAAAAACCAACCCAACAGAGAACCTGTCTAAGTTACTGATCAGCAGACACTTACTGGTTTCTGTCTGAAAATCCCGGAAGCCGTCAAATATTGAACGCGCAGGTCTGCGTCTCTTAGGAGCTTCAAAGAAAAAAGTATTGCAGTAATTACTTCAAAGGCATACTATGAAACAGGTAAGCTTATGAGAACCATTTTTCCCCATCACTTACTCCCTTCAAATTTCCCAGCAGAGAAGAAAAATGTACCAGCAGTACACATTAATGTAAAGTTAGCCTTTTTTCCTGGGCTCACCAAGCACTCATACATCAGTATGTAGTGGCAGTGCTGTCACAGCATCAAAATGTCATGATTCCCATCAAGACTTTTAAAGGTGATTTCTAAGAAAAACTTCATAAAATTAAACCCAGAGGGAGAATACCTTCTTTCTTAGGAAACACAACTGTTTCTTACACGTTTCTATTTCCTTTTTAATCATGTATCCAGATTTCATTCCAACAGGGCTGAATTTGACTCAGCCAAGCTCTTCCTAGGATCCAGTGTCAGTATCAGCAAGGATCTCTCTCCTCTAAAGGCTTAGCAACAAGCACAACCTCTTACAGGTAACTTCAGAGTAATTTTCACTGTAGTTTTGAGTAGTAGCTGAAATAGCACTTCAGCAAAAGCAGCCTCTCCAAGGCTTGGCTGCTACAAGTCCAGCGCAGGTGAAGATGTGAACTGCAACCCAGATGGCTGTTTTTCTAAGACATTTTCTACTTCTGGAGTGGTTCAGTGTATCTGGCAGAGTACAAACTGATACAGGTCTTCTCAACTGGAAGAGAATCCAAGCTCACTCAAGCACCTCAATACGCAGCTGCTCAAACCATAAACTGGAACATACCCTGCTTGAGGTTAGAGCTGAAGGACCAAGTGAGGCAGCTTTCCAGCTGCTGGCCTGCTTCATGCTATAAATAGAAGTGGCATCAGTGTGAACATGAGAGCTGTTGGATGAGACAGAGCCAGGAGGCTACCACAGATTGCCTCAGTAGGGCAGTGAGGGACAGCACGTCTGTGCTCAGTGAGTGACGTGAGCAGAAAAGGACCAGCAAGAGTGCAGATCATACTCCTGTACTACTTAGGATCACGAACCCACAGGCATCTATGGAGCTTATGTCAAAGACTGTGCTGGGTCACAAAGGCAGCAAGAGGAAGAAGCCAGCGCCATGTCTTCCAAGAGTCCTCAGGGCACCTTCTGCAACCACCTCTCAGCTTGGGCACGTTGGCAAAACAAATCTCTTGATGTTGAAAACAAGATCAAGTGAGAACCAGTTCCACAGTGAAACAGAAGCTAGGCCTCACAATCCTATTCAGCAGGAACTAAACAACACAAAATGCATTTCCCATGGACATGGGATCACTACAGAGATGAGCATTTCCATGTCTTCCATTGACAAAAAGAGCAAGATTCTTAATTCAGCTGTGTGATGCAGCTTAAAGTGCAAATTAAATTCCTAAAGGAGAAATTGAGAGAATGACAAGCTATCATGCAGTTCAACCCTTCTTTCTGGATGTCCTCAAGAAACATGCATTTGTTCACTCCATTTTCACTTGTCAGCCAGATCCCAAGCTTTCACCCCACCAGTCTGGACATTTTTGCAGCAGTATCACATGGTTATGAATGCCAGGAACACAGGAACTCAATGTTACTAACTGCCTGGTGACTCAAGAAGTCCTCTGAAAAAGGAGTTAGCAAATTGACACCACTGCAAATACAGCATCTCTGATGTGTAAGGTTTTAAATATCAGTATATTTCCAAGCATGCAGTCGTGTTAGATGGCTGAGGAGCTGGAACAGGGCAAAAACACAAACAGGCACACTGCTTTCTTCATGTTCATGACATTTTGTTTTTCTCATCATATGAACATGATTTCAAGGTATTTAAAGAAAGCAAACAATGAAATAAGAACACAAGCCTACCTCCAAACAAGGGCTCAGGCTCTACTAAAATTTCCTGTTTTTGAGGAATTGGAGCTCGTACTTCATCCCTATTGAAGAGGAAAGGAAAATCAGAGATGATAATGTTTGAGTATTAAATAAACCAAACTATGTTGTGTTCAAAAGGTTCCTGCGACCTGGACTAGCTGAGGACACTGCTGTGCCATTGCACAGAATCAGAGATTTGATGTCAAAACAGACCTTGAGGAACCCTCTACTCCCACTCAAGGCACTGAAGCAGGATGTAGCACGTTGTGCATTAACGTGCACAGTGCACTTTTCTACATCTTGACAGGAGATTACACAAATCCTGTGGTACCCTGATCCCAGTCTTCTGTCAATTGAATTGACAAAAACAATTCAAACACATATTTTTTTACTTTCACAACCTCCTCAGAACTTGGAAACTGTCTTTCAAAACTTAGGTAATCAACCCACTTGCCACCCTCCTCCCCTGTTTATCTGTACACAGAGGGAAAAAAAAAGATTGATTACTATGAGCTTTCTCCTGCTGGAACCTTTTATTTTCACCTGAAACTCATGACTCTTTTTTTCCCACAGGATGTAAAACAAGATGGTCAAAATGGTTATTTTCCTCCATATAATCTGAAGCAATTACTTGCTTTCATGGCTGGGCTCCTTTCACATTTCAGCAGCTTAGCTATGCTTACAGAGAACACTATGTAAACTGAAATTACGTCTAGGAGAAGAAATAAAATCACAAGAGCTATGAAAGAATAGAAATGTGTACTCAGTTGTACTCAGTTCAGATCCCTAACTCATGTATCTACTCAGAGGAGCAGCACAGGCTCATCCAAGAAAATCCATTTCAACATCTGACCTACAGAGTATTCCCGAGCTGCACGCCTTCCTGGACTCTTCAAAGTCTTTAAGTGTGCAGTTATTGGCTCCTGGCCATGCAGGTTTCAAGCAGTAACTCACACCACCAGCAAGATTCACTAACCTTGCTATTAGCCTCCACATCTTTGATCGCTGTTGTGAAGCTAGTTATTCTCCTTTCTGCATTTGCATATTTTTCTTTCTTCCTAGAAGTAAAACTAAGCTGACCAGCACCTGAAGGTGTCAAGTATAAAAAAGGAAGTATTCAAAATAAACCTTGAATATTGAGTTACTGATGTGCCAGAAGTTATCTAGAAATACGAACTCTTAACACCTACAGATACAGACTTTTAACTTCATTACCTGTTACAGGTTCAAACAGGGAGGCACTGAACTATAGAAGTCAGTGCTAACAGTTGTTTAAATGTGTACATGTGCTTCAGAAGTGCAAGCAGCAAGAATTTTCTTTAGAAGTTATTTCCCTCTTGCCTGAAGTAAAAGACTTCCATAAAGAAGAAAGCATGGCTATGTTTAATACAGAACTTTCAACAGATGTGACTGATACCAATTAGCTTCCATGCAAAATATTCCCCTTATCCCATGCAGGCACATTAACAGGCAGCACCAAAAGACTCTGCCACGTCAAAGCACCTTTATTGGCACGTGATGTGTAAGACACTAATGCAGATTTTGTAGTTGCTTGTTCCTCTGCACATCAGTGTACGTGATCTAATGTTAAAACAACACAAGAAAATGCTATCAAATGGGACTCGGGTCTCAGTTAATAAAAACCAAAATGACAAAATTCTCTAAGTACAAAAGAACATAGAGCAAAATTCCTGGAGCCATTTAAAACTAAGACCCACTTTTTGCTGGATCCTCACCTCAGTGACCCAAGCTAAGCCTGCAAAAACAGCATGTGCATGCAATGGGAAACTTCTGAAGTACACGCAAGAGAGACCAGCTTGTGCAATAAGAAAAACTTATTTATTAAGAAAAACATCAAAGCAATCAATCAAACAAGATCAAAAAAGCACACATTACACTGAAATAACAGCAGGTTAGGAGAAAGAACAACTGCTTGAATTGCTCTGTCTTACACTACAAAATGTTTATGCAGACATGCCCATGTACGTACTCGGTGTGTGGCCGAACTGCAGACACTGCTGCAGAGCTGGTGCTGGGCTCCTCTGCTATGCCTCCACCATCCAGAAACATGGTGACAGCCATCTCCAGGTTGTTGTTGCATGCTTCAAGCATATGTTTTCCCACGCTTTCACTGGCACCTGTAAGGCAAAAAAAAAATATATTGAAGCATTCTTCATGAAGTGTTCTGATCAGAAGCGCTGGGAACAGCTAACCAGCAAGCTTCTCTTCTAAAGCACTGATCATTAGAGCAGTTCAGCAGGTGCCACTTATCCCTAAGGCACGACTATGAGGTGAGACAAACACACATCTCAAGGGAAAAGGGAATGCCTGGATACAGAACAGCCACGCTTCTCCCTTCCAGCAATTCTGCGGGAGCGTTTTTGAGCGCTTCTTTTTCTCTTTGTACAGTTTTCCAAATATTGACACGCTTATTAAATTTGACTTGTTGTGTTATATGAAAAACAAAACAAAACAATCAACTGATTTAACATTTTAACAGAGAGAATACTAAATCCAGTGCCAAAGTTTTTACCCTCCTCTAACAGATACTTAAAGAAGATTCCCTGTTTCGCTGAGTGCTCCAGAAGGCAGAAACAAACAAGCACAAGCTCAGTTCATGTACAAGGAAATTTTAAAAGTGAACAGGGAAAAAGTAGTATCATCACTAGCACTTACTAGAATGGCTCCCAGGCCCAACCAAATGCAGACCAATGTGCTGCTCAGGATGAAACAATACTCCTTAGCAACACTTGTTGTTCTTCCTTACACAGTCTGCCTCTAAAGCTTCCTCAAGGCCGCACAGTCAACAAAAGCACCACCTGAATCCCTCCTGCATCTAATCTTTTAAGAGTCTATTTACTACACTACGTCTCTATAGGTAGCAGGCTGCCAAAGAGTCTATTTTAATATGGAAAAGCTGGAACAGAGAAAAGAGTGGCAAAATGCAGCTGAACCAGTTTGGGAGCAGTTTTTGGTCTGCAATAATTCTTACCAGCTTCACCACAAGTCACTGAAATGAAGAAAACTCTGTTTTCCCAGCTTCAGAATGACAGCTAACGCCACTTTGAGCAAAACATTTAACTTGCTTTCATTGGGTGTCCTGAGATTTTCCAGGAAGTACTCAGAGCTTTAGATTAAACAGACTGATACACTGAACACACTTTGAATCTGTTAAGATAAAGCAATACTAAATGACCTGTGCCACTATATTACACCACAAGGGAAAAGTCAAGCTGATCAAGGTAACTTTTCAAGAGAAAAAACAAACCCAAGAACCAACCTGCCACAAGAGTACCCCAATGGTATTCAGCTAAGCTGGAGGACCTTAATCAAAATAAGAGTGCAGAATGAACTAGTACCATCCCCAATCAAACACAAAAGCATCTAATAGTTTTTCACTGTAACTGCTCTTTCATATTTTCAGGAGCTCACTTCAACACCAGCTGCAGAAACGAAGCAATACCTGAAGATTCTGGAATATACACACAGCCTGCAACCTCAGTGCACAGTCACACCATGCTGTTCATTTAGGAGGACCAGAAGAAAAATTATATTCCACCTTCTGCTTTTTAAAGTCATGAATATACAATGCGTTCGTACCAAATCTTCCTCAGTCCTAAGGAAAACAGCATCACACCAGTGTTCTCAGTGCTCCTGCTGGCAAACAGAAATTCTAATTATTCTGCAAGATTTGAAAGAAATTTCTTTTTATCCCGTAATTTCATCTGTAAAGATACACAGGACTTACACTCTCTTAACACTTCTCTGGACGAGAGCACCAAAGGAAAAAAAAAACTGCTGTCTGAGAAGTATATTCAAGGACTATGGGTTAGCAGACATGGCTTGGCAGCTGGACCTGATGCTTATAGTGTCTTTTCCAGACTCTGTGATTCTGTGACTGCTGCTCACCATCAGGTGTGCTGGAAGCAGATCATAGAATGGTCTGGGTTGAAAAGGACCACAGTGATCATCTAATTTCAACTCCCTGCTATGTGCAGGGTCGCCAACCAGCAGCCCAGGCTGCCCAGAGCCACATTCAGCCTGGCTTTGAATGCCTCCAGAGATGGGGCATCCACAGCCTCCTTGGGCAACCTGTTCCAGTGCCTCACCACCCTCTGGGTGAAAAACTTCCTCCTAATCTCCAACCTAAACTTCCCCTGTCTCAGTTTAAGACCATTCCCCCTTGTCCTATCACTGTTCACCCTCACAAACAGCCGTTCCCCCTCCTGTTTATATGCTATCTTCAAGCACTGGAAGGCCACAACGAGGTCTCCTTGGAGCCTTCTCTTCTGCAAGCTAAACAAGCCCAGTTCCCTCAACCTTCCCTCACAACAGAGCTGCTCCAGCCCTCTGCTCATCTCAGTGCCCTCCTCTGGACCTGCTCCAAGAGCTCCATGTCCTTCCTGTGCTGGACGTGCATGGATGCAGTGCTGCAGATGGGGCCTCACAAGAGACAGGTAGAGGGAGACCATCACCTCCCTCTCCCTGCTGGCCACCCCTTTTTAATGCAGCCCAGAACTCAGTTGGCCTTCTGGTCTGATGGAGTTCATTTCACCTTTTCCACACAAACGTGGGTAACTCTGTGCACTTACACAGAACCATAAGGGCTGGAGCATGTGTCTACCCCCCTGAGAAAGCAGGTTCACACCAAAGGTGCAGGCTGATGACAGACCACTGAGGGTGTGCTGTGCAGCACCTGTCACTGTGCCACAGGGTCAGACAACTCTGCAAGAACTCACCTCCAAACAGAACCTTACATTCTATTTCAACAAACAGAACCTCAAACCTCTCTTTCAGAGGTAGGTGGGCAGAACCCAGCAGGATCTTGTTTTCTGTTTTGAAGATCGGGAGCAGGGTTTAGACATCTCCATCACCCAGCTATATGCGCAGATGGCTGCTGGGCAAACAGCACAGCTCTACTCGGCCTTCTCTCAGGCACCGCAGAGAGCGAGAACACCAGACACACACGGGAGCTCGCCGTAACGAAAGACGCTTCTTCTTTCATAGCAGCAAGGGTTTAGTCCAGCAGGTTTCCGTCAGAAGATCCCAGGCCCCGTAACTCCCCAGCACTCCCGTTTGCGGGTGCCGTGCCCGGGGAGCCCCAAAGCACGCACGCCGCGTCCGTCCGCAGCCCGCAGCCGACGGCGGTGCCGACACGCCGACGCTCCGCACGGACGCTTTCAGCAGACGCCACTCAGCGCCGTCACGCGAAGCGCGAGCTTCCCACGAAGCGAGCACGAACTGCGCGACCTCGAGCGAGGACCCGGCCGGCGGACCGCCTCCCGGCCGCGGGGCGAGCCGCCCGCCTCTCCGCAGCCGCGTTTCCCCGAGGCGGGCTTCGCGGCAGCCCGGCGCCCCGCCGCCGCCCCGCTGACGGGCCCGGCCCCCCGCCCCGCCGGGCCCCCGCCTCACTGCGCCCGGCCCTCCGCCTCCATCCCGGCCGCTCGACGAAAGCGTGAAGCGGCGGGTGAGCCGGTCCGGGCCCGGCATTCCTCGTGCCTCACCCGTGATGGCGGTGAACTGCTGGATTAACCCTTTCAGCGCCGCGGAGGCCGCCGAGCCCCCGTGCGCCGCCATCTTGCCGCCGCCGCACAACAACACGCACGCCGCCGGCCCGCGCGCACCGCGCAGGCGCGAAGCCCGCCCGCGCCCTTCCTCTGCCCCGCCGCCTGGGTGGCGCCGCGCAGGGGCGGGGCGCGGGAGTTGCCGTGGTAACGCGGCTCTCGCCGCCTCGGCCGCCCGCTCTGAAGGGGCGACCCGCCGCGGCGGGAAAGGGATCGATTGAGGCCGGTTCCGCCGGACGCAGGAAGTGCTGCTGCTGCACGTGCGGGGCGGCGATGAGGCCCGTGCCGCTCCCCAGCGAGAACGCATTTTTGTTTCTCTCCATCCAGCAACGCTCTCTGGGCCCGGCCCTCCGTTCTTTGTTCGGCAACGCGTCCGGCCACGACTGCTGTCGTGCGGGAGAATGCCGTGGGAGAGAGCCAAAGGCGTTGCTGGAGCCCGGGTAGGCTGTGCGCACAGCCTTCTCCTCACCAGCAGGAGGGTTGAGTGGTGGGGTGCCGTTGCTTTCATGCGCATTTACCTCAGAACAGCATCGGGTGGAATGCTGTGTGGGAGGTGTTGGACTGGAGGAGACGAGTTTTATGAACCAGAATCTGAGAAATATCACCACACCAACAAGAACGGCTCCCCAAGGTTGCCTGGCAAGTTCTCACTGTGCTCGGGATCAAGCACTGAGAGCTAAAAAGGAATCATTAACCAACCCGAGCCTGCTGCAAAGCGCGTGGAGCAACCAAAATCCTCCCAGCAGCTGAATTCCAACCTCCAACAAGAAAAGCATAAAACAAACACGAGGACGCTCCTGAGGACCGCTCTGCCACACGCACTGTGAGTACGGCCATGAGGGGATCCGAACGCTTGCAGCCCTCACAAGGCTGCTGGTCTGGGCACCCAGTACAGGTTTATAGGCTTTGTGTACTTCAGTTGAGTGTGCAGCTAATGATTGACTTCTAGTCTTGTTTGTTTTCCCCATTCTGCAACAGCCTTTCAACTTTTCCATGTGAGATGTGTTTCGCAAAGCAAGTTGGTTTTGTTTTTTTCTTTTTCCCAGTCCAAGTTAAAGTGAATTTTAGACAGCTGCCAAAGTATACTTACTAATTATAAAAGTACAACTTACATACCCGCACCTTTGGGGTATGTGAAGTTAAAAGACTGTCCCAGCAAGCTTTAAAAATAATGGAAAAAAAGTGTACCCCCCAGCAAATACACACCTACCCCAAAATTGTATTCCTGACTTGTGAAATGGCTTCTTTCTGCACTTTTTTGTATTTATTTGTAGTATTTGTTATGGATGGCAGTGAAGTAAGCCTTCAAGAAGCAAAAAAACCCCTCCATATTGTCTAATTCCTACCTTTTAACTGAGATTAGTTGCGTGCATATTATAAACTTTATGTAGTAACCATCATATTAAGAGGAAAAGAAAGAATGCACAATACAGCTGTGGAGGAAAAGGGAATGAAACTGCTGCTATGTGTGACAGTCTCACATTCTGGGGCACACTGAGCTACAAATGAAATAGCTCACGCTGCCAAAGGAAAGCCTTCCCTTTCCCTTGCTCTCTCCCCCCTCCATTCCCTTCAGGATCTTTAACTGGTTCATAGAGAGCTCAGAATGCTAAAGCATTCAAAGAAAGAAGGAATTCTCTCTCACTGCTGGTTGTAGTTTCATTATACCAGAACTTCACAAAATAAAATCAATAGGAGCACATGGTGCTTCTGATCACTTACTTGAGAAAGGGCTGCAGGCATCAGGTGCCATGCTCTCAGAAAGAGGTTCTCCATGCCAAAGCAGGGACCAGTTTTTGAACAAGTTAAAAATAGACATCAGACTTGATAAACGGATTTTAAGACAGGGCTGAATTGAGATTTACGAACAAAACTCTTCATCCTCAGCTGCTCTGGAAATAAGAGTTTACTTATTACATGTTTATCATGACAGGAAAAGTATTTTAAGCACAGAAACAGTCAATACCTCAGCCCTGAAGAACGCTGTAATCAGCAACGGAGTACATCCAACTGCCTGGGTAAGATAAAAACAAACTGAAATAAGAATTACACAGAAAGGGGTCTATCTCAAATGAAGGCTTCCAGGGCTATGGTTGAGGCAGCAACGGGAAAAATGAATTATTTGCAACATGTCACCCATAGGTTTCTCAAGAAGGCTGTCTGAATACTCCACTTATTTAGGAGAAACCCAACAGTATCAGTGATGTGCCATCAATTTAAAATAATTGGTCTCCTTTCTTTCAGGATTTTTTTTTTGTGGGTTTTTTTTTTAATGTTTTCTGGTTTGCTTGTTTGTTTTTTAACTTACATAACACCAGAAGTTACTGCTTTAAAATATTTGTTACAAGTTTCCCAGAGCTGTGTTAAAGTCTCGCAGATCACCCATAAGATTTCAAACGTGCACTTTTTTGCACATTTGCTATTCAGCAAGGAGCACTCACAGGTCAGCAGTGTAAGTTGGTGTTTTGCTCTCATTCAAAAATGCATACTTGAGAAATATATCATTACATTCAAAGAAAAGCCAGAAGATGGGCTTCACAATAGCAAAATAGGAAACTCTACCTGCTAACAGCTAACAAACTGTTCCAAAGGCCTCAACTTGGTGGAGTGTCAGCTTCACAGAACGCCTTTACTGTAATTCTTTTTAATTATTTTACCATCAAACTCAACTGGAAGACAGTATTTTCTAGTTCTTCAGAAAATAATAATAATGGAGCAACGGTTACAGCCAGGCCTAGTAGTTGAACTCCAGTTGAAAGTTAAACTAAGTCGATACTGGTAACTCTAGTTGCTTCTCCCCCTTTTGGTTTTACTTTCTCCATCATAACTTCTCCTGGACTAATCGTTTTTGAATATTAGGTGCTTATAATCAGCCTCAAGTCAGTTTGCATGTGAAAGTTAAATAGTAGCATATCCAGGCAAGATTGTGTAAGTTACAGGCTACTAACAAGAAAACAAAATGAAAATGAACAGAAGTAAATGCGAGCCCACAACCACTGCTGTTATTGGCATCTATGAGAGATCCTTGCCTTTGACTGTGGAAGAATGATCCTTTTTTTCCCCTTTCCCAAAAAAGGTGTTACTCTGTGAGAGGATAAGAGAGAGGGAAAATGCCTTTGCAAGACTGGCTTATCTGGTTACAATCCTTTTAACTGCCAAGCAAACTGCAATTCAACGAATAAACCAAATTCCAGTAACATCCTTCAGCAGTGCCTGTGCCTTGTAAAGCCTCAGTCTCCCAGTCAGCAGACAACCAGAGATACAGACACACATCTTTGCTTCCTCTGGGGAACATGCAGTCCCCACAAAAGGCTCTGAATTCTCATTCTAGGACCATCAGTTACTTTGGATTTCAAACAATAACAGTATTTACATTCCAGCTTAAAAAAAAACAGCTTGAAAATGCCAGTCCTAGAAAAGAAGCCATAGTTGAGAGAGGAGTAATTAAAAATGTTAAGGTCTAGAGGCGTAAGTTATTTAAACTTCTCAAAAACATTCACAGTACATTTTAATAGACAGTTTTGGTCACTCTTGCAGCCCAAAGCCCAACCCTAAAAACCATCCATTTTCTAACTGTTTAGGAGAAGCTTTGCCTGACACAGGGATAAGCATTACCGTGGTTTTAATTCCAATTAATTTAACCATGTGTCTGTGGTTCTACTCAGTAACAGGGCTTTTAAGCATCTGAAGGATTGTCTTTTGTTTTCTCTGAGGCAGTGAATGAACATCATTTGAATCACTGGTGTTAACAACACAATTCAAGACTTTTCCACTGCTGGGTGATTTCATTCGGACCCTGGTAGGAGACTGCCAGTTTTCATTGCAAGAACCTTTCCGACCCTTGTGGTGATTTGTTTCACTTTGTTTTTTCAATACTTTTGAGTCCTTTGCCATCTTAGAGCTTCCTTTTCTAGAAGAGTCTTTCACAGATTGAGGTGTTTTAGTACGAAGAAGGTACTCATCTGGAGATCCCTTCTGTCGGTTCAGCAACCTCTCCTCTTTGTTGAACTGTCTTTGCAGCTGCAGAGCCAGAAGCCTATCCTGCTCCTCCTGCATATGCCTTTCATGGAGCTCCTGCTCAAAGGCTTTCTGCATTTGCAAATTGAAGTCACTTTTCCACTCCGCTTCCTCCTCCAAAGTTCCTGGAAAAGTTCTTCTCCTCTTGTCAACCACACCCAAGTCAACCACTGCTTCAGCCAGTTGTTCTGGAGACTTTCTTTTGGGAGCCTCCTTAGTGTTTGCCAAACTCTCTGGTTTCTTTTCATCCGCACTTCCAGCTGTCTTCATGAGATCACCTTTTACACTTTTGCTGTCAGACACGGAATTTATTGCTAACTGAATACAAGTACTAGTTTCAGCACACTTTTCAAGGTTTACGCTGCCTACATGAGTTAACCTGTCACTGTCCAATACTACTCCACCTTCTCCTCTGGATGTGGAAAGAACTGCTGTAGCCCCTTCTCCTTCTGCAATTCCACGAGTTGTATGTAGAAGTTCATTTCTGAGACCATTTGGTTCGTGTGCATTTTTTTGCTTGACAGTTGTGGTCTCCTCTGAAGCTGAGGCATTTAGGAAGTTAATGTACGTCTGCATAAACAAATCCTCGGCACTGGAACCTTTGGTCACTCCATTCAGCTGTGGAGAC